AATTTTGAACCTGTTTCTGATTTTAGAAGCTAATGAACTCTGGATTTGAGTACATTTGGATGCTTAATAAGCTTATAACTGTTTTGAATTAACATCATCAGTATAGGATAGAAAGAAATAACGTGTTATACTAAGTTCATCTTCTAAAAACATCTATGAACATTTACCATATGGTTATGGATGTGTGGGTAGTGTAATGGTTAACAACTTGGAATGGAAGATTATTGAGATTATTTAAGTTCACATTCTAGTCAAGTTTATTACATCCACTTTTGCACAGATACTCTTGATAAAAGTACTAATTCATCTCTTCTCCTCCATCTATGGGTTAAATAGCATAGTTGATTGGGCTCTCTTACGACCAGTCTAAGAGAAGAAAATACTGAAATTCAAAACTAGCCTGAAGAGGAATGGGCTCTGTTAAGCTATCCTGCCCTAAGCACACCCTTACTACAATGCCTGCTGTATGTGGCACCCCTATGTTCATAATGTGCTTCCAGACTCATAACATGACATGATAAGTGTGTCAGGCTTGTGGATCCTATCATTTTTATGGTGTTTCTTTATTTGAAGTTATTCAATTTCTTTAGTGTGGTAAAGTTGTTATTTGTCATATTCTTTCCCCCTCCCCTTTTCTTTTTCATATTTTATACCATAGTTACTCCTTTACATTTGATATTAAAATAATTCCCGTTCATAGTGTAATCATAAAAAAGAAAAGAAAAAAAACTAAACTTATTTTAAAATCTTTTACAGTAAATAGAAAATAATATTTACCATTTTGTTATTATTTTCCAAAGACCAGGTGAAGAATTATTAAAAATAAAAAATAGATAAATATAAGAAAAATGTATCTAGACTTGTGTTGTAACCTAGGGAAGGTTACTGAATGGAATAATCACATGAAGGTTGGTAATAAACAATAATACTTAGAACAAGAACAACACATATAAGATTCACCAGTGGTGCATAGAAAAAGTAGTCAACTGCTAGAAGTGAGTCAAGTGAATTCCATAATGAATCTCCAACTGCAGGATATCTACCAACTGCCCCATGCTGTCAGATGTGGCAGAAGGTCGAATTTAATGTGGGGTATCCAAACCCATAGACTCGGCCAAAAATTCCCTGTAGACCCTGTATAAAATGGCGTCATGTAGCTGTTTCCTGAGACAAGACTCTGCCCTTTGACATAGCTTCATCTGGGGATCCTCTTTGGGCAGAGAGTTTGACCAGCACAGCTGGAGACGAATCTCCAACTGCAGACCAATATACAGTATTTATTACTGTATTTATGCGAATGGGGACATACCCATTATCATCCATAGGCATGCTACAACATCTTGTTAGCCTATGTTTTATTATTTCTTAAATGAGAAATTAATTTATTCTACTGATTCACTTGTTAATTATTTAACCTTTAGCACTCTGCATTATTAATATTACTTCCCTTTCTACTGCACTCTTTTTCAAGATCTCTCAATTGCAGTATCCTTATTGTTAATTTCACTCACAGTTATTTTCTGTTGCTATATCAGGATATGAAAACACAACTATAAAATTCAAACACACTATTGTTGATGGATCAGAGTCACTTTTAGTGAGAGGATAAGCTTTTTGTACAGCAAATGAAGTCATATACAAAGTGATAAATGTTAATATACTAGATTTATTTAACCTATAAAACTATACTAAGAGAATTAGAGGGCCTATTATTACTATTTATTACTAGCAGATATACTTTCAAAAACATTAGATATAAAGATGACAATTCAGAAGCAGATTCAGAATGAAAACTGCAAGAATTCCTAGAGGTAGGAAAGGAAAACGAGAACAAAGAATGAACCATTAACTATAAGAAAACAAGGTTTATGAGCAAGAGTATCTTCCAAATTAGAGACATTAGAATAAAGCAGGTAGAGAAATTAAACTACCTGGGTAGTGTAGTAACAGACAATGGAAAATGTGACACAAGGATCCAAATGCATAACAAAATAGTGAAACTGCCTTTTAGAAGCTAAGCAAAGTTTTAATACATAGGAAACAAAAAAAAGAGTACTGAACTGTTCTAAATAGCTTCCTGTATTGAGTAAATGCTGGATATAGATGAAGATATTTGAAACAGCAGAGACATGATTCTACAAACATATACCAAGAATACTACAGACAGGATACAGGATTTCTTTGATTTTTTGTCTGTAATTTCTGTTACAATCAACAAACAAATTCTGCCACAATTCAGGTATCCAATAAGTTACATATCAATTATATCAGTGTTCTTTAACTTGAAGAACACAGTAAAATTAACTTGCAAATTCTAAGTTAATTAGAATGTACAGAACATACACTGGTCATAGACAAAGAGCTGGGGAATGACACTTTGATCCTGGGCAGAGGGATGAGGTACAATATTTGATCATATGCAGAGGGCTGGGTAAACAACACTTTGACACTAGACAGAGGGCTGAAGAATGATTATTTGATCTGAGGGAGAGAGCCAGGGTATTAAATGTTTATCCTAGGTATAGAACCATGGAATTAAATTTTGATCCTGGACAAAGGGAAGGATGAACCACAATTTGATCCTGTCATGGAACAATATTTGGATCCAGTGAAGTGGGTCATTGCAAACTTTTTGAACCTATGCAGAGGCTGAGGGAATGACACTTTGATCCTAGGCAGGCCAGAGAATGACTCTTCAACCTTAGGCAAAGGACTGAGTAATGACACTTGGAATTGAGACAAAGAGTCAAGGAACCATGTTTTGATTATAGGATGATCCAAGGCAGAGGGCCAGGAAATGACATTATAATCTTAGGCAGATTGCATAAGCTTTTTTTTTACTAACGGTTACCAATTACAAGGCCCAATAGCTACTCGTTATAGGGTTACTGAATTGTTGTATGAAAGGTAAGAGGGGGAGGTAATACATGCAGTTTATGAGGACTTGTAGGCAAGATAACAGTTAACCCTAGACTTGAAGAGGTTAAGATTGTAGTAATTGGGGAAGCATCCTCTTGGAAGTTTGTTTCACAAAGTAGCAGTTCTTGGGAAGAAGCTGTCTAAATAGAAGTTCCTTCTTAACTATCATTTTTGATAGGTACTATGCTAGTGTGTATAATAACAGAGAGTGTTGTTTAGAAAAGAAAACTATTAAAATTGTGAAAATAATTTTTTATAAATTTGCAAAGATGTGGAAAAGTTTCAAGATATTTTATGTAGAGAGATTCTATATTATGCTAGATCACAGTGAATATAAATATGTAATCACATATGCATACATATATACTTCCACATCACTGCATATTTATGTGCTTGTGTGTGTCTGTGTGTGAGTGTGTGTGTGTGTGTGAGTATGCATGTGTGTGAGACTGTGTGCATGTTGTCTGAGTGTGTGTGTGTGTGTGCAAGTATGTGTATGTATATGTGTGTGTGAGTATGTGTATGTATATATGTGTCTGTGTGCATGTGTGTGTGCATTTATGTGTGTGTCTGTGTATGCCTGCATATGTTAGTGTGCATGTGCACATGTCTGTGTATGCCTGACCATATCTGTGTGCATGTGCGAGTGTGAGAGAACATGTATATTTGTACCTGTGTGCATGTTTGTGTGAGTGTGCATGTGTCTGCATGCATGTGTGTGTAAATGTGTGTGCATTTGTAGTTGTGTGTGTTCATGTCTGTATGTGTCTGTCCATATGTGCGTATCTGCATGCGTGCATGTCTGTGTGTGTGCATACAAATGAGAAAGAAACAGTCAATCAAGATTTTTTTTGATATTTTCAATCAGATCAAAGTTTACATTTATAGAAAAATGATCAAACAATATGATTTCTTCAGAAAAAAGAATCAAAACAAACGATTTTCTTCCATTTTTCTTTGGTCTGAGGCCATTTCTGTATTCATCTTTTCATGTTTTTTTTTCTTTCTTCCTGCGATTACCATTTGTTTCAATCTGATTGCAACAATTTGTCAAGTGTTGAAAAGAAAAACAGTTTCAGTAATCAATGTTGATTGATTTTTCTTGTGACCTATTTGAAAAAAAAAAAAAAAATTTTTCTGTCCCATTTTGTCACATATATCCTTCAATCTTTGCTAATGCCTTCAAATTTATAAGTTTGTTTTTTTCTACCATCAGTTCTTCCTTTTTACTGTTCTCTCCTTTGTCATTTTTAAGAACCTTAAATCTTAACATCACTGCATTGTTTCTTCATTTTTATGTGTGTGTATTCCAAAACTCAGAGGAATTTAGGTGTGAAGCCTCATGAAATTCATCCACCAGTAGACTCCCCTGTAACAGTATAGGGCTTCAGCTTCACCAATCTGCAGTGATTTCCATAGCAATTAGGTTTTTACAGGGCGGAGTTACCAGCATCATACCCAAACAGTTTTGACTTCAGTGTTTTTATAAAACTCATAAAGAAAAATATACCTCTATAACTGAATAGCAATTTTTACAGATGAACCTAGATGGGATACTCATGGCTATTCCTCATTTTTATTCTATCTAATCAACCTTTTACATGAAGAATAATATTCCTTGAAGTCATCTTGCAAGAGATTTTTGGTTTTGCATATGTCATATGCTGTAGTTGGGAATCCTCTATAAAATATGGTTTCCTTAGTTTACATGGAAGCTTTGGCCATAACAGTAAATGATTTTTATTTTTTAAATTCACTGCTGAAAAGAAAAATAGAATATATAAAAAGAAGTAATAAATATAGAAAAGATAGATTTGTTTTTTTAAGGTTTATCAACCTTTTGCAGGTGATTTAAAGACAGAAAATAATTTTAGATTTCAAGAATTTTTTTTAGATTATAACGATTTTATTGATACAAGTTTTATGAATTAAATCCTAACTGGGTGGAGAATAGGTGGATTCAAATCTTTCCCAAGAGTATTTGCATGTAAGTTAATACAACAAACCCAAGTGGAATTGGAACTCTACTATCCGATTAAAAATTCACAGCCATTATCCATTACACCACCTGCACATCCAAGCTTACAGCACATGTTATTCCCAAATGGTCACCCATCGAGGTACTGACATGGCTCATCATTGCTTAACTTTGGTGATCATATGGGAACCAATGTTAAATATAGAAAAGGAAATTTAAACATAAATAATGCACTTGAAAAGTACTATTATGTGTTTTGGTAAAAAAAAATATTTGATTAAAATCTCTTTTACTGGGTCACTTCAGGATAGGGACAATTCTGGGACTCCTGTCTGTACCATTTTTAGAGAGTTGGGGTATAGAATGAATAGTCTAAGACAGGAAGAGAAAGAAATCATAATAGTTGTCCTAATTACTAAAGGGAAAGTAATAGCATTAATAGCACTATTTTAATGACTGCCACTTTTCCCCCTTCACTTACTAATTGATTTGACTTCTGACACTGCATCTTATATGTAAATTTGCGGCTTCCTGTAGGCAAAAATTTTATCTTTAATGGTCACTACTTTAGGGTATAATTTTGACTCAGACCATCACTTCTATCTAATTTCACTCTGTAATATTATTATTTAGTCAACTAACATTATTATTATTATTATTATTATTATTATTTCCTTTGATTTCTTTTGTATGCACATTTCCTTCCGGGTCCTCACCAGAGACCTAAGGTCAGAAATGGCTTCATGACATTTTCCACTGATCATTTTTGTAAAAAAAAAATTAAGATTATACATATTATACATTGATAAAGCTCTTAATGTATGAGCTGTACTTTTTGTATTTAATTAAGGCATGGGCTACCAGGAATCCCTTCAATGAGTCTATCAGAATCTTTTCCATTAAATCTAACTACAACTGAAATTATCGATGTCTTCATGTGCCCCATTTTTGAGATTTCCACATCAAGATCCTTATATTTTGATAGTTTTTTTTTTAAGGATCTTCAACAATACATTAAAATTTGCAGGGACTGTCATATCAATAAGAAAGTACATTCTGTTTTTGTGGTCTTTGATCATGATGCCTGGGCAATTAGCTTTGATTGTTCTGTATGTGTGCATTGTAAAGTCCTATAAAATTGATACAGGTGCTTTCTCCGTAACTGACTCTGGGTGGTGTTGATATCAGTTTCTTGTAGTTTCCTTCCCTGAAAGTTGCATCTTTTATCAGTGCAGATATTGGCCCACTCCGTAATGCTTTTATATTCAATGGGTACTGACACTGTGCAACATGATACAGGATGGTCAATTGTTTTGGGATATTATTATTATTATTATTATTATTATTATTATTATTATTATTATTATTTTTATTGTTATTATTTGATTTGATATCCTCTCTGATTCATGGATTTTTTTATCCAGCTGATGAAGGTCATATCTCAGTTCCTACCTAGAGTGTAGAATCATACACTTTTCTCAGTACATAAGTTCTTCCAAGCAGTGTTGTTTTGTGCTCTGCCAGTGATGTCAGGTATTTCCAAAGCAGAAAGATTGCTGGAAATAGTCCTGAGTGCACCAAGCACAAAGGAGAAAACATGACCTGTTGTTTGGCACATTTCTCTGATTTGCTCTGCTAGGTCTTGGTACCTCTGTATTTTTTCCTGATTTTTTTATCTCCCAAAGTATTGCAATGTCTATCAGGATCCATTCATAACCATTCTTGTGCCAAAGCATGATATCAGAACGATTGCTCTCCAAGTATTTTGTCAATCATGATGGTCATATCCCACATGAATTTCATGTGATCCTTCTCAACTATTTATTATTATTACTATTTTGGGTACTATAAAAGAAATTATCATAATGGAGTACCAGCAACATTCATCAGTACCAACTGATCTATCATGCCGAAGTATGTCATAACACATTCTTATTATTAACCAGTTGTAAACAACAAAAATTATGAACGTAAGTGCAGTACTAGATTGGCAGCAAGGTCTCATCATTTTAAAGTTCAAAAAGGTGGATGTAACCATAAGTTATGTGATAATATATTTTCTTCTATCACACTTCTCACTTTTGGAACTCTCTTCTGGCTTCTTGCTTCCTAGTCAACTTTTGAACTTCAAAAATTTCAATGCAATGTCAAACATTATTTTCTGTCTTCTTAATTCCTGTTCTTTTATTGTTCTCTCTCCTTAATAGTTTTTTTCTCATATTCTCTAACACTCTAGTAACCACTTGTGACTTAGTGGGCGAAACACTAAAAAAGCAAAAAACAGAAGGGAGTGACCTCTACTGAAAGGAAGTATTAGTAATGGTAAAACTGTTTTGTGTTATGTTCAGCTGTAGTGATAGGTTACTTTTTATAAAATGTTTTCTGCTTTGTTTTCTCTTTCAGTGTTTCATTAAATTAATCACCTAGAATATTTTTACTATTGGGATTTTTTACTTTATGTTTAGCTGTACTACTAGATTGTTTTTTTGTACACAGTAATTTCCACAAGATAAAGTGCTTTTCTAATTTCATAGCTTGCTTAAAACATTATAGCCTTTAAAGACTCTAAAAACTATTTTGTTAAAAAATGGGAGCCTATCTAACCTGCCTGAGCATCATTTATGACAGCAATTACAGCACGTATATATATATATATATATATATATATATATATATATATACACTAAGACATGTCTCATTAAATAATTTAAACAATTTTTGTCAACTTATTTTTAATGGGATCATTTCATAATTACATACAAGTTTCTTAGTATCCTTATTAAAGAAAGAAAATTACCATGTTCGTGTATATTCATTTTACTCCGAGTACTTTCGACATTAGCACAATGTCATCATCAGAGTGTTGTTTTTTTCTAAGATAAAAATTGTTGTATTCATCTGAAAATTAAATTTTTACTTATGAAAAACACTAAGGTTATGTACTGTATGATTTTTAAATTGTTCGATGTAAGCATCAAAGGAGGTAATTAAGTAATATGAAATGTTTAAATACTAAAAAAAATATTTAAAAATATTAGTTAAAACCTACCTATTTTAAACTATCTACTGCAAACATTTAAAACATTTGTGCAGTATTCATATTCATGTATATATATATATATATATATACACAAAAAAATATATATATATTTACACACAAATATATAATATATATTTTGAATTTGTAGGTCTGATGATTTGGATCGTATTTACGATTCCAATGGAATAAATTATGACCATGGAATATTAGAGTTTAAGCCTTTTTATTATATATATATATATATATATATATATATATATATATATATATATTTTAAAACAAATAATGACCAAGTACAGTGGTCAATTCTATTAGGCTGACATAGGAGATTGCTATGTGATGATAACAGTTGTGAAATATCAGACACAAATCGTAAATTCATAATACAGTTCTATGATGTCATATTGCACAGAAGAATGAAATATTAACGAGAGAATTATATGCAATATATATATAAATGCTTATAACCACTCCAAGAAAGATATTTGAATCACTACCATGCAAAAAATTCATTTTTATATGTGGAAATATCTACTCTTTGCTTGAAACCAGAAATACGCATTGCAGAATTATGGAAAATAGAGTATAATATATATTTTAAAATAAAAAATTCACATTTCAACCAAAAACATTGTGGTTTATCTGCTTTTTAAAATATACACTTTTCTCTTGTTGGAATAACTATAACCTCTTCTAAATATATATATATATATATATATATATATAGGATTAATATGAATAAAAGTTTGTTACTTAGCTGACTGATGTTACCTTAAGCATCCCAACTCTAGTATTATGTCTGTATATATATATGTGTGTGTGTGTGTGTGTGTGTGTGTGTGTGTGTGTGTGTGTGTGTGTGTGTGTGTGTGTGTGTGTTAAAAATAGGGTATATAATCCCAACAAATTTCAAATTATTGACATTTGGAAAACATTGATGAAAGTATGTTTTGAAATATATCTGATCATGCATTTTTACCATTTAGGCCTCACCAGATCAAAAGCAAAAAATGAGTTGTATGTGTGTGTATTTGTGTATGTTTAAAAAAATAAAATGTAATTATTTTTTTTTCTGAAGCTGTTGTTGTTCATGACTAAAAAAAGAATGAAAATGAGTGTCTTTTAAAAAGTTGTTAATATTTTATATTTTTTGCTTTCTCAGTTGAGAGATCAATTGTAATCCTTCAGATTGGGTAGGAAATAAACAATTTAGTTTTTATCAATGCAATCTATGTGTTGACAGTATGTTAAAAATGGGTTTTATAATCCTAACAAAATTTCAAAATATTGACAATTGGAAAACATTAACATATATATATATATATATATATATATATATATATATATATATATATATATATATACACATATTTCTCACTGATACCATGACTCATAGTTTCATGTACAGTGCAATCTCCAGGTGCTGAGTATAGACTGATTGTTATGTAATTTAAATTTTAGTAAAAATATCTTGTTATTGCAATGTTGGCACAGTTATATATTAAACTGGGATTACAGTTTTTTTATTTAAAAAAATATATATTTGGCATTTAAAATAAACACAATTAATATATATATGTAAAAAAACAAATAAAATTTTAGACTTGTGCATATTAAATTTTTATATTAAGCATAAAGGTAGATTGCCAGTTCTTTTTCTAAAAAACAACCATAATTTATATTAAAAGTTAAGCTATATCAACATATTTGAGCAAATATTTATTTTATGCCTACATGTAACCATTAATTTGTTTCTCTTGTTTAATAAACTACTGTTATTTAAGTATTTTAAGAGAACTAATTTTTCAACAAGACATAAATTACAGCTATTGTCTTTCTCATTGTAAGATTTGGCTCTTGCTACAATATCCCACGTAATAATAGGTGTATTACCACCATTCTTTAAATGCCAGAAATGCTTAGAGAGAGCAGTGATCTTTATGTATTTCATATTGCCGAAAGTCATTCAATGATGGTAGAAACAAAATTTCCATGAATTTTCAGTGGAACCAAAATAAAATTTGATATAGTTACTGGAATGTCTGCTAGCTTGGTATACAATATTATCAGTCATACATTGACTGTTCAAGGGACAGAGAATATTTTTTTGGCAGTTGTATTTATTTTTAAAAAATTAACTCTGTTGGCTGCATTGGA